TTCTTTATAGTTTTGCTACACATCATATGTGATTTTTTTTACAGTTTTGCTACACATCACATGTGAATTTTTTTTACAGTTTTGCTACACATCACATGTGATAAAGTAAAGAACTTTAACTCAAAAAATAACCAAATTATTATCTTTCAAGAATAAATCACAATTTGTTCCAATATTGCCATTTATTTAATTCCATTAGTTCATTTTCTTTTTCAGCAATTCACTACTAGAAAACTGAGTATTTCCAGAGGAAAATTCTGTTGGAAATTTATCGGCGGATTTCCGGCAGACAACTAAAAAGTCTACTCTCGTTGACTTCCGCTGGACATCCACTAATAAATATATTCCGACACTATTTTCGGCGGATTTACAAATTAAATTTTTACGAAATCATTAACTCTGATTACAATAAGTTACCGTCGGATTTCTGGCGGATTTTTGATTAATTTTTTTAAATTAACGTCAGCCAATTATCCGCCAGAAAATAATTAAAAATTAAAATTTATTATTTTAAATTTCTGGCGAATTTCTGGCAGATGTTGGTGGCCGCCAATAATCCGCTGGTAATTTAAAATAATAAATTATTCCAGATTCTTAAAAAAATATTAGTTTCCGACGGAGTATTTCCGGTGGACAACTTTCCGGTGGATTTTTTATATTTTTTTTTTCGTTTTTCATACTTTTGGTTATATATATATATATATATATATATATATATATAATATTACATATATTCCACATGGAATGTATAGTGGATAATAATTCTCTTATCAAGTTCAACACACACACACACATACATGTATGCAATACATACCTATATACAAACACATTATCCGATGTCAATTGTTATTATTGGGCTTTAAAAACTATTAAAAAAGTCTTATTTGGGTTTAACGAGTCTTAGTTGAGCCAAATATACACCACATGCTCATATACAATACATGTCTTTTCACAAATACGTATTACGTTTAAATGAATGTTAGTTGGACTTTAATGGTTCTATTGTCTTGTTGAGTTTTTATTGGGCTTTAATGTATCCGTTGGGCTTTTTTGATCATATTGGTTTTAACAGTTTTATTGGACTTTAATTGATATATTGGGCTTTATTTGGTTGTATTGGGCTTTAATTGATCTATTGGGTTTTAATAGATATTAGTTGTGCTTTAACGGTTCTATTGGGCTTTAATGGATATATTGAGTTTTATTTGGTCGTATTGGGCTTTAATTGATCTATTGGGCTTCAATGGATGTTATTTGGGCTTTAATGGATATATTGGGCTTTATTTGATCGTATTGATCTTCAATGGATCTACTGGGCTTTAATGAATGTTAGTTGAGCTTTAACGGTTATATTGAGATTTTAATGGATGTTAGTTTGGCTTAATGGTTCTATTGGCCCTTGGTTCTATTGGGCTTTAATTGATCTATTGGGCATTAATTGGTCGTATTGGGGCTTTAATGGATGTTAGTAGGGTTTTAATGGATTTTTTGACCTTTAATGGATCTATTGTGGTTCAATGGATGTTAGTTGGTCTTTAACGGTTCTATTGGGATTTAATGGATGTTAATTGGGCTTTAATAGTTCTATTGGCTTTATTTGGTCGTATTGAGATTTAATTGATCTATTGGGCTTTAATTGGTCATATTGGGTTTTAATAGATGTTAGTTGGACTTTAATGGATCTATTGGGGTTCAATGGATGTTAGTTAGTCTTTAACGGTTCTATTGGGCTTTAACAGTTCTATAGGTTTCAATGGATGTTAGTGGGCTTTAATGCATGTATTGGATTTTATTTGATTGTATTATGTTTCAATAGATCTATTAGGCTTTAACGGTTCTATTGAGCTTTAATGGATGTTACTGAACTTTATTTGGTCGTATTAGGCTTTAATGGATGTTCGTTGGGCTTTAATGGATCTATTAGAATTCAATAGATATTAGTTGGGCTTTAACGATTCTATTAGACTTTAATGAATGTTAGTTGAGCTTTAAAGGTTCTTTTAGGCTTTAATTGATATATTGGACTTTATTTGGTCGTAGTGTGCTATAATTCATAATAATAAATAATAATGATGATGATGATAATAATAATAATAATTATTATTATTATTATCATAATTATAATAATTATAATAGTGATAATAATAATGATAAGGATAATAATAATAACACATGTTTGGAGCATGGTGCTCGTCTGGTAGGACCTAAAACTCGTTACTTTAGTAGCTTGATTTTTAATATGTTATAATTAACACATGTTCGTATTATTTGATCTTTGAAGACCCAAGCAAAAGACGATGTGCCACCGACCGTTGTGGAATTGTTCTATTATATACATAAGAAGAGGTCGAGTATAGAGACCGCATCTACAGATTCTGGGGGGGGTACGTGACCTCTAAGTACAGCCAGGTCATAGTAAGTATCTATCTATTTTAATTTTTATAATTGGATAAGTAACTATCTATCTAGTTTGGGTTGTGATTAATTGTTGGACAAATGTTCGAGTCGTTTAAATTAAAATCTATGTGTGTGTGTGTATATATATATATATTTAGTTCAGGTTGTCATTTGTTGGGCAAACATTAGGATTGTTTAAGTTAAAAATTTCGTATGTATCACTATTTAGTTTGGGTTGTCATTTGTTGTGCAAACGTTAAAATTATTTTGGCTACCGATTTCGTACGTATCACTATTGTTTTGGCTGAAAACATCCTATTTACAGCCGTCATGCTGTCAAAATTCACTTGTAATCTTTTTTAGACTATATATAGGATGACTATTCAATGAGTCTCATCCAAAGATACGACAATGATCCCTCCACCTATCCGTTAGTGGATACAGAGTTGTGGGAGCAGATGGTTGGGGTAAGCAAGAAAGGCCGTCTATTTGGGTTTTGGTATAACCAAGATCCCAATTGGGTCTTGACTGAGAACTACACATAGGGTGATCCATCGTCTTCAGAGAGTTGGCTGTGTGTCTCTTTTTATTTGATTATGTTTATCGATTTAATTTATAATTCATATTAAATATTATAACATTTTCTTTATTTTATATGAAATTGAAACCTTAAGAACCGAACTTAGAGATTCACAAGAAGAGAATCAGCGCTTTAAGACAGAGGAGCGACGATGGACAGAGGAGGAGCCGCGGCGGGCGGAGGAGGAGGTGCGTCAGCAGGTGTTGGATGAGAGACGGGATAAACAACTTGAAGATATGACTACGTTGGTCAGGCAGCTCAGTCAATCTCAACATTTCCCTCCTCCATCGTATTGAATATCTGTTTGTTTGGAACAATTTGTGTGCTACTTTAAATTGGTTAGGATAATTGTTGTTTAGTTTAATGTATGATATTTAGCGGCATTTCATCTTTTTAGCTTTTTTGTTAATATTTATAGATTTACAGGTTTTAAAAATTTACTGAAAAATTATTTTATAATTAATAATTAAAAAAAATTTGAAATAAATTTCCGACGGATTATCAACGGATAAATTTGCCGGAAACATTTAAAGAATAAAAATAATAATTTTTTAATATAAAACAAATTTCCGCCGAAAATATTTAAAGAATAAAAATAATTATTTTAAAAATAAAATAAAATTTCCGGAGGATTTCTGGAGGATATATCCGCATGTAATTTTTTTTTAAAACTCGTTAATAGTTTTTTAATTTAGTCAAGGATTTTTAAATAAACCGGGGGAAAATTTCTAGCGGCCATTATCTGCCAAAAAACCAAAGGATCCGCCGGAAAATTAATCACCGGCGCTTCATTTTCCGGCGGCCCTATCCGTCGAAAACTCTGTTTTCCGGCGGATTTCCAACGGTTAGGGCAGCCGGAAATGTTGACCAGGTTGGTAGTGTTTTATAACCTCCAATTTAACCATAACAGTTGAAAAAAATTTGAACGGCTCATATAAGTTTGCAAAGGTTAGTATTGATTAATTGGTTAGCAAATGGTTACGCCTCTATATATACAATAAGTATATTTTTAAATAGTAGAAATTAATGAGTTATAATTAGCACATCTTTATATATATAAAAGGAAAACCTTGGGATATTGAGGTGACATCATGAAAATTGAGTATTCTCAAATGGTGAATTGTGGTTGAGTTTTAGCTATTCCACATTGGTGAAGAGTTGAAAGATTTGAACAAAGTAAGTGTATAAAAAAGATGTATTGGCATCATTTGTATCAATTTGTGGTATTTGACTTGTAGTGTTGTCTTATTTTGGACGAGTCTCTTTGAAATATATCATGGTTGAGATCCAAATCAACCAAATGGTAAAAATCATAGTGCAATATTAAAAGTGAAACGGAAGATGATAACTTGGAAACATGACATTTGAGTGTTTCTCAAAATTTGAAATAAGATGGCTTTCATCATCTCACATTGGTTGAAAGATGATAGTTTGGAAGAAGAAGATGAATGTATAAAAGCGTGATGGATGCTTTGAAGTTTATAATCATAGTTGAAATCAAAACCAACAAATGGGTAAAATTATAGTGCAAAACGAATGCAAATGATACAATTTTTTTCCTCTTAAAGTACTTATAATAACAAACGTAATTTAAATATCTATTATATCACTTATATATATATATATATATATATATATATACTACATTAATAAGCATTTAAGTCAATATCTTAATTACAACCTTCTAAGCACAAGTTACAATCATTTTATGCAAGAATTTTAAAAATCTCTTAATTACAAATTATCATACACATTGTACAAGTTATTTATGCAAATGTTTCATACAATACCAAATCCTAACTGGGTCAAACCTTCTTTCTTCTTATCAGACTTCTAAAATCACCAATCTGGACCACTTTCTTCTTCTACTTTTGTATCTGATCACTGCCTTCTCTGCTCTTACCAATTTTAGATTTCAAATTTCAAATTTCGAATTTGAAATGATTCTTGAAGTTCGTGTGAGAGATAGACTTACCCACAAAAATAGATTCAAGCTTAGGGTTTAGGGTTTAGGGTCATCCTCTTCGAAGAGACACACACCCCTTACTCAAAACGATTCAGGGTCATCCTCTTGAGACACTCTCTATCCATCACTCAGGATTTAATCTCAGTCTATCACTCTCCAAGTAATCAATCGGTTCCATCGAATTTACTCTGTTTCCATCGATCTACAGTCTCTCATCCAGGTAATCACTCTCCATCCATTTTGCTTCACTTTTTTGTACCCTCTTTCGCAGACTTCTTTCTAACACACTCTTCTTCTGTTCCAATTTTTGTTCAGGTAATTAGGGTTTGATTTCCCACTTTTAGTTCTTGAACTTAAATGATATTGAATTTTGATTTCTCATTTTTAAACTTGAATTGCAGTTAACCTATGTGGCATCATAGGTTTGTTTTTTTTATCGCAACCCATTTTTTGTATGAAAATTGGTACCACAGTTTCATGAACAAGAAACTTGAGCTGTTGTTGTAGAAGACTAAAATTGATTGTGTCTGTATATGACATACAGGGGATGTTGGGGGAAATGATGGTAATCAAGTCCAAATTGAAGTAGGTTGGCTTAAATTTTTTTTTTTTGCAGAGTAAATTGGATAAAAGGCTATGGGGTCCAGTTAGGCATCTTGAATCTTTACAACGACATGCTAAACCTAGAGAACACTATGCAGGTTTGTTTATTTCTTGAAAAGATTTAGGGGCTGTTTGGCAGTTGCTGAATGATTTATGCAGAATAGTTAAGAGGTCAGAATGGTTAAGAGGGTCAGAATGGTTAAGTGCTGAATGAAATAATGTTGTTTGGTAACTGTTCTCTGAATGATAGTAAAATTACCATTTTAACCCTCTGAATGATTTAGTACTGAATGAAATAAA